TAATTGGGATGAGAGTGTCAGAGACAGTGCGATTGGCACAGGACAGAGCGGAGTTTAGGGCTGTTGTACATAGGGTCGCTATGAGTCGCAGGCGACTCGATGGCACATAACAACAACAACAACAACACCTCTTTATCTATACTATCAGTTCTTTCTTCCGTATTTTGCATTTTCTTAGCTAGCTGTTCAAGTTGCTCCTCATCAATATGTTTCTTCTGGACTGTTGTCTGCATATTTGCTCTGCTCTCTCAGTAGCTTCCATTCATTGTTTCTTCTTCTTTGCATCTTCTTCTGTAGCTGTTCTAATAACTCCACATGATCATATTTGTTCTGGTTCTTTCTCACATACTTAGGGTATGTTGTCAGGAGGGGCTATTCCTTGGAGGAGAGATCATGCTTAGAAAGGTGGAGGGGTCAGCAAAAGAGAAGACTCATACCAAATGGATTGACACAGTGATAGCAGAAATGAGCTCAAGTGTGTCAGTGATGAGGATGGCATTAGATAAGACAGAATTCAGTTCTGTTGTTCCTAAGATTGCTACAAGTTGTTCTTGACTCAACAGCACCTGCCAACGACTTTCTATTGTAGTGTTTGTTCCATTCAGCAAGATCTACTTGTATTTTTGTCTTCACAGAAGATCCTTGTTATGAGTAAGTAATTTACACAGATTTATCTTAAACTGTCTTGATTCTATCACCAAGGCCATAATTTTCAACCATTAATCTTCCTTCTTTGTTTCCAACTTTTACATTCCAATCTCCAGTTATTATTAGTGTTTCTTGATGTCATGCTTTAGACTGCAGAATTTGGTGGAATTCTTTCATTTTTTAATCTTCTAGTGCATGGTAAGTATAGGATTTATTTCCCTTTCTTCCTTCCCTTTTTACCTCTAACACAAATTTAGTTCCTCCAACATAGTTTCCTAGTATAGACAGTATATTAGTTTGATTAAGATCAAATTGTTTTCTTTGTAGAATGTTATAAACACTGTTACTATCTGAGCTATTACAGTTGCTTTTCTTATGTACAAAATTTTAAGTTTTTCTCAGAATTAATAATTGTGTCTTTTAGTTACGAGGTTTCCTCTCTGTTGTTCTAAAAAAACTAAAAGAAAAAAAATCCTTGCTTTAGAGTTGGAATTGACCCTTAGCTGACCTTTCAGCAAATGGGAGGAGATTGCTTATGTTTCTTCCTCAGTTGTTGTTGTTCTTCCTCAGAGCAGCCATAATTCCTTATCCTCTAGGCCAGCAGAGCACCCTATATATTATTGTTGTTAGTTGCCATCAAGTCAATTACAACTCGTAGCAACCCGAGGATCAGCATACTTATAATTTGTACATCCTGTACCATACTCGCTTATCTCATTTGCTAGAACTCATTGTTATAGTCATTGTGTCAGTCTGTCTAGTTGAGGGTCTTCCTCTTTTTCTGTGACCTTCCACCTTTCCCTGCATGATTTGGTGATAGCATGCCCAGGGTATGTGAAATAAAGTTTCACCATCCTTGCCTCTGAGGAGGTCTCTAGTTGCACCTCCTGCAAGATAGAGCTTTATAATTTATATATTACATAATAATCTTTGGTAATTTATGAATAATTCAGTATTCTTTTCCAACACCATAATTCAGAGATAACAGTTATCTTTCATCCTTACTCACTATCTAACTTTCACATGCTGACTGTGGCTTGGATCAGTTGCACCTTGGTCTTTAAATTGTCATCCTTTCTCCTTTGTGCTTTGAAGAGATCCTTGACAGGCATATTTTCCTAGTACAACACATCTTTGTTAGTTAATGTCAAATTAACTCCAATTTATGTTTATTTTATATCTTACAAAGCAAAACATTGCTCTGTTTTCTATATTTGAGTACATTTTTGCTACCACCTTGACAGTCTATCCCTTGGAGGGTTTTTTCTCAGGTTTTCTGAATACTTACCTTTAATTGAACAATAAACTCTCAAATTGCAAATGCCTTTGAATTCTAAATATCCGTTTCCCATATCCTAATTTAAAGGAGAATTAAGCATAGATTGGCTTCTAAATTTTTTTATATAAATAACTTCTCATGTTTGAACCTGCCTGTAAATCAAGAGTAAAGGTAAATTTAATTTTATATATATATATATATATATATATATATATAGAGAGAGAGAGAGAGAGAGAGAGAGAATGTGCCATCGAGTTGTCTGCAACTTATGGTGACCCTGTGTACAACAATCCTAAACCTTGCCCTATCCTGTGCCAATCTCATTGTCTCTGACGCACCTACCCCAATTATCCCAATCATGTGTATGTGTGTATATATGTATGTGTGTGTGTATATATATATATTTTTTTTTTCTTCATCCACCTGCAGATAAATGTACAAATGTTCCTTTACTTCACCTTTTTTTCCTGCTGGTAGGTAAGAAAGACAATCTGTAGATTTTTGTGAAGAGAGTGTCTCCTCATCATTCCCAACAATTAGTCAGGGAAGTGTAGAAACTGGATTAGAGCCAGGATCCTGGGGTTTTAGTTCTGATTTTATTGGTAATTTATTTCATCGATCTAGAAAAATTAGGTAATTTCTTTGGCCTCTGTTTTTTGTTATTTGTAATAATGACAGCATTAAATGGATTATAACTGAGACCTCTTCTAGCCTAAATGTAGATAAATGATTTAGTTAAATTCTGAATGTGTATGTTGTATATCCAAAGTTAAGTATGCCATTGCTTTTGGTACATATATAGAAATGCCCTGATGTTTAGATAGGAATTAGATTATAAAAGGCCTAACATAATTCCTAGTATCTTGTAGAGGTTGGAAATAATAAAAGACAGAAATAAAGTAGGACTATTACTTTCATTGTACTTCCAGTTATGATTCAGGAATTCCCAAGGTTGACTTGAAAAGGAAAATTCTCAGATCTTCAGGAATCCTTTTGTTTAGTATCTGATAGATTAGATCTGACACATACACTGTGCTGTGAAGCAATCAGTCGTTGTGTTGATTTGAAAAATCACCTTGAGGACTTAAGGACTTTTGAGTACATCCTTGGATGCCTGTCAGGTTTTTTGACAAGGGCAAAAACTATTCTTCATTTTCAAGTGCATTATGTAAAAGATACATAATATTTCTCTTCATCGAGTCAGAGACAATTGATAGCTGATCCTATATAGGGTTTTCTGTAAATTGCTGTAAATCAGCCTTTGATTTGGCAGTGCATCTCCCTACCAATTACTCCTTCCAGGCTCTCTCTGGGATATTTAGACATCTAGATTTTGGTATACCTAAGTATCTAAACGTGATGTTTATGTATTTCATTCCTTTTCAGAGAGTATTAAGGGTTGAGTTATTTACATTTGGAAATAAATCATATGTAACTTCATTACACTAATGAAGTATAGTTACAATAGTTATAGTAATGATGATGCTTATAATGTACCTTATTGTGGTTTTCCATGAAAATCACTTACATAATTTAATTTTATAACAAACATATTCACTGGTTATTATCTATTGCTAATATGTAGTTGTGATTTTTTTCAGGTACTTGAAGAAGCAGAAGCTCAACATCTTTATCAATCCATTTTGCCTGGTATGGTGAAAATTGCACTCTGTCTACCTAACATTTGCACTCAGGTTAGTGAAAGCTCAGTAGCTTTCTGGAAAGTAAAAAACAATTTAATTTCTTTTTAATACTAATGGCCACAGTCAGGATGAGAGAGATGAGGAGTGGTTTTGTTCTGTTAATGTAAAGGTTAGAGGCTACAAAGAATGCTGCAGAAAGGACATTAAAAATGCAGTACTCAGTTTGTGAGCTTCAGTTTACAATGTTGAAATTTGCTTACTTAAACTTCTTTTACTTTCCTTGAACATTCACTTAACTAGAAAAAGGTGGACTATTTCAAAACATATTAATTGAGCTAGAACATTTTATATTAAAAATAATGGAGCCTTAATGGTACAGTGGTGAAAGTCCTTGACTGCTGACTGACAGTTCAGTGACTCACACTCACCAGCCACTTCTTGGAAGGAAGATGTGGTAGTAGCAGTTTGCTCCTCTGTAATAGTCTATGTGTTTCTTATTGCCAAAGGGGCCTTTTAGAGTAGTAAGAGAAGATCTTCACCCTGAAACCTACAGCGTCCCTTTTCAGTAGGAAGTAGCTAAGAGAATACGCTGTCCCCTTTCCCTTATGAATCAGGGTGAAGTCTCTCTCAGGGAGGAGTGATAGGGAACGGCAAAGGGCACACTGACAAAGGAGATTAATCAGAACTGGCTTTGACAAGCACTGTGGCAATTGGACAATTAAAACAGACTTTCAAGGGGGGAAAAAAAGAAGAACGAACTGGGGAGGAGGGTAGAGAAAATAGTGTAACAATGAAGGAATGAAAACCCCAAATCTCTGTAAATGTTCATTAAAATTAATAAAATTTAATAATAAAAAAATTACAGCCATGGAAACCCTGTAGAGCAGTTCTGTTCTGTCTTCACAGGGCTGTGAGTCACAATCACATCAGTGGCAATGGGGCTAATCTTAAAAATGGCTCAGTATTACGTAACATTTCCTCATACACAACATTGTAATGTGTCATATAACAAACGTTAATTATTTATGTTTTTGTGTATTAAAAATAGAAGAAAATAGCCATCATTATTGACATTTTTTTACATAGTAAATTATCTCAACATTTAGTGACTTTAAACATTATCTCACAGTTCCTGTCCATCATGAATTCAGGAACAGATTAGTTAAATATTTCTGTTTCAGGATCTTTCTTGGGCTTAGTCTTGGCCTGGTAAACAGACATCTGAAGACTTGACTGGGGAGGCTGAAGGACCAACTCCTCACGGGCTCCTTCATGTATTTGTTGTTAGGAAGTGTCAGTTTTCTGTCACTGTGCTCTCTGCTGGCTGCATTAGTGTCCCCCAACATGGCAGCTAGATTATATTCTCTGTCACGTGGCTGTCTCTGTATGCTGTTTAGCTTGAGACACATTCATAAAATGTTTTTGGGTTTTTTTAATATCGTATCAGTTTATAATTAACATTATACAACCTTTAGATATGAATCACTTTTTCTTCACCTTTTTGCCACAGAAAGTTTATACATATTTTACTTAATGGAATCAATTCCAACGTAATAAATTTCTGGGTTATAGCATGTAACTTGATGAAACCACAATCAGGGTTAAAGCTCTCTATTCTTCATCTGGTTTAGAATAACTACTTTTCCGTTAATAAGGTGAACATCTTAATTCTCTGCTCTGTCCTCTACTGAAAAGTAAATCTTTGCTGTGAAAATAAAGATTTTAATTTGATTGAGATCAAAACATACCTTTCTGCAAGTTAAGTTGCATGTGTAGTCTTTTGTCATATACTACAGACCTGATGAAAAGGTAAAATTTTAACTAGTAAAAAAGAACAAGTTCATCCTGGAAAGTGCGAAACCAGGCTGCTCCTTGGAGGCAAGGAGTTTGAAGCATTGTCTGACATACTCTGGGCATATTGCAAGGAGGGACCAGTCCTTGGAGAGGAACGTCATGCTTGGAAAGGTGGAGGGACAGCACAGGAGAGGAAGACCCTGATTGTGCAAATGCAACATAGTGTTTCTGTCCATTTGATGAGCACTTGGGTTGCTGTTCTTTTTGCTATTGTGAATAATGCAGCAATGAAAGTGGGGTTTGAGTCATGGCTCTGTTTTCTTAAGGGTATATATTACTAGTAGTGGAATTGCTGGGTCAGTTGGTAATTCTATTTTCAAGTGTTTTAAAAAGCACCAGAATCACCTTCCATAATTTAGGTTGTACTATTTTATATTCCTATAGCACTGGTCTGTCCATTTGCTGTACAGAAGTAATTCATGGTTGCTATGATGCTGAACACTGTGACACTGATGCATCAGATGCAAGAATGATTACCTATGGTGGACAGTGTTTGGTGGAGTTCCCTGATTAAAACAAGCTTGGAAGCAGGAGTGGCATCTACTTCCAAAATAGCTTGCCTCCAGAAACCCGATGAACTTGGAGAAACAATTTAAGTTATACTGCGGTTCAGGTCTTTTGTTCATATGGTCACAGTGAGTTGTCTAGAACTCAACAGCACTTAACAACAGCAGCAACCACCACCACCACCAGCAGAAATAAGAGTTTCATTCTCCACAACCTCTCCAGCATTTGTTATTTGCTGCTCTATTGAATTTTGCTGCTATTCTTGGAGTGAAATGATATCTCATAGTTGTTTTGAACTGCATCTCTCTTTCTGAGAGGTAGGGATTTTGAACATTTCTTCATGTGTTTTGCTTGCCATCTAAACGTTGTCTTGGGAGAAGTGTCTATATTTTGTGCCCATTTTATGATTGGGTTGTTTACCTTTCTCTTATTGAGGTATTGGAATGTTCTATAAATTTTAGCTGTAAGTCCCTTATCAAATATGCCATTGTCAAATATTTTTTCTCAGTCTGTGGGTTTCCTTTTTATCCTGTTGGAAAAGTTTTTGTTGGGCATAAGGGTTTGATTCTAAGAAGGTTCTAATCAGCTATTTTATTCTCTCCTAGTTGTACGTTTTTCATTATGCTTGGAAGTCTATTTATGCTGTAGATTAGGGCTTCTAGAGTTGTTCCTAGCTTTTTTTCTTTTTTCTTTTTTAAGAGCAGCCTGGATTTTACTACCACTATGGGTATTATAGCTAATGTTAGATGGATCTTGGCAGAAAGCAGAGAGTACCAGAGACATGTTTATCTGTGCTTCATTGTTTTGATTTTGGCGAGCTCTGGTGGCCTACTGGCGGGAAGCTGCACTGCAATCCCAGAGGTGCACAGTTCAAATCCACCAGATGCTCTGCTGAAAAAGGAATAATTTATTCCTGTACCAGTCATATCTGATTTGACTGTACACAAACAAGAAAATAAAATGAAATTTAAAAAAAAAGGCTTTTGATTTTGTGGATCACAGCAAGCTGTGGCTGACTCTGAAAAGAATGGGAATCCAAGAACACTTGATTGTGCTTATGCAAAACCTATACTAGGATCAAGACTCAGTTGTCAGAACGGAGCAAGGCGACACTACGTGGTTCAATATTGGGAAGGGGGTCCACTAGATATGTATTCTGTCTCCATACCTTTTCAGTCTGTATATGCTAGTAGATCATCCAGCACACTGAGCTGCATGAGGAGGAATGTGGCATCAGGATTGGTGGAAGATTCATCAACAACCTGCATTATGCAGATGACCTGCTTGCTGAAACTGAGGAGGACCTGAAGCGCTTGCTGCAGAAGGTCAAGGACTGCAGCCTTCAATACAGATTAAAGCTCAACATCAAGAAAACAAAGATTCTCACCACTGGACCAATTGGCAGCATCAGTATAAATGGTGAAGAGATTGAGATAGTTAACAGTTTTAGTTTGCTTGGCTCGTTAGTCAGCACTGTTGGTAACAGCAGCCAGGAATCAAGAGACAAATTGCACTGGAAAAGTCAGCTGTTGGGGACCTCCCCAGAGTACTGAAGAGCAGTGATGTCAGGCTGGAGCCTAAGGTGCGCCTGATCCGGTCTGTAGTCTTCACAATTGTGTGCTGTGCATAGGAGAGCTGGGCAATGACTATGGATGATAGAAAGAGAATTGATGCCTTTCAGCTGTGGTGCTGGAGAAGAGTGTTGAATATACTAGGGACTGTTAAGGAGAACAAACAGGTTTGTCCTGGAGAGAGTGAAGCCGGGCTGCTCCTTTGAGTCAAGGATTCTGAAGCTTCTTCTAACATACTTTAGGCATGTTGCAAGGAGGGACTGGTCCTTGGAGAGGTACATCATGTTTGGGAGAATGGAGGGACAGTGCAGGAGAGGAAAAGCCTTGATGAGATGGATTGATTCAGTGATTGGGGTGGTAGGAATAAGTGTGTCGGAGACAGTGAGGTTGGCACAGGACAGAGTAGGGTTTAGGGCTCTTGTACATAATCAACGGCACATAATTACAACAAACATTAAAAAGAAATATAGCACCATGAGCAGCAGGAACAATGAATGATTTGGTGATTATGGAAGCTGATGCATCACACTGTAACCCTGTGGTTTCACCCCTTCCCATCCTCATCTCTCTCCCCTGCCCTTGAATTCCCATACATGTTTTACTAGTTATCTTTCTATTTTTACAATATTGATCTTACCCAGTATATGTCACTATGAAAATGTGTTAGTTCACTCAGCATAATGCCTTCCAGATTCTCCCAGGTTACATAGTGTTTTTCAAAACTGTTGCTCCTGAGTGCTGCATAGTATTTCATTGTGTGAATCTACCAGTTTCTCAGTCCATTTAGTTGTAGTTAGACATTTGGGCTGTTTCCATGTTCTTGAGATGGTAAATAATGTTGCTATGTACATTGGTGTACAAATCTCCCTTTTATCTTCTAATTTCCTTGGGTATACTTGTTGCTTTTTCTCTGATGAATTTTACAGTCTTTGGTTTTACTGCTAGGTTCCTGATCCACTTGGCATTCAATTTTGTGTATGGTATGAGGTGTGGGTCTTGCCATTTTATTTCTTATTGTAGCTTTGTTCATAACATTAATTATAATACCCTCAGTGTAATCCAACTTTTCTTACTTCCTTCTTGTAATTCTTATTTCCATTAATATTTGTTTGTCTTGTCTGTCTGTATATCTGCATTTGACTGTATTTCTTATGTACCTCTCTCTGATTTCCCTTTCTTTAGTGATACATCACCAGTTTTGGTATCTGACTGTTTTCTATTTAGGAAGTTCTGTTGGCCTAGTGGTAAGGAGTTTTGTTTCCAGTTTATAAGCAGGCAGTTCAAATTCACCTCCTGCTGTGTGGGATAAAAATGGATAATCACCTCTTGTGCTATTTATAACCTCCGAAAACCCACTGGAAATTCAGCTATGAGTTGGTTCTGACTCAGTGGCACATAATAACAACAACATCAGTTTACTAATGCATTCAGTGGGTACTATACTCACCACTTCTCCTTCAGTTGCTATCTTTTGTAACCATCTGAGAATGAGTCGTTCTATGTGTAAATATTTAACTTACAGTAATAGTTACCGTAAAATGTTTCCTAACTGCCTTATTTCACTGGCATAATCTCACCCATGCTATGCATGTATCATGATCCTTTACTATTTTTTATTCTTGCATTGTACTCTGTTGTGTGGCCTACTCTAGTTTCTTTAACATTGTGTCCATTGATGACACATGGTTGTTGCCATTTCTTTGCTATTGTATATAGTGTTTTAATAAACTTGAGTGACCATTTGTTTGTAGTGCATCTCTTCTATTTATTTAGGATATAAACCTAGCAGTGGTATTGCTGACCAAATAGTATTTCTGTTTCCAGCTTTAAGGAAATGCTGAATTCATATTTATTGCACCATTTTACATACTCACCAAGCAGTGATATGAGACTGGTAAGAGAGTACCAGTTTCTTTACACCTTCACTTGCATTTGTTATTTACTATCATGTTGAATTTTGCTGTTGTTGTTTAACTGAGCTTGTAACTCATTGTTATCTTATTTGCATATCTCTAATAGCTGAGGGGAAGCGCTGTCAATGTAGAGGTGTGTGGTTGGAATCCATCAGTTGCTCTGCAGGATAAAGATAGGCAGTCAATTCCTGTGCTGTTTACTGCACCTGAAAGCCTACTGGAGGGTCAACTATGGGCAGGTTCCAAATTTGGAACACAACAACAGTGTTAGCATAGTCCTTAGGGAGTTGCAGTACTAACTCAAAGGCCACGGCTCTCTGGTGGTTCAAATCCACCAGTGACTCTAAGGGAGAAAGATGGAATCTCCTCCTGTGCAATTCACAGCCTCCCAAAAACCCTCTTGAGAATCAGCCATAAGTCAGTTTCAACTTGATAGCAAAGAGAGTGAGCTAGCTAATAGCTAATGATCTTGAAAATCTTTTTGTTTGATTATTCACTATCTATATGTTTTCTTTGATTAAATATCTTTTCATGCCCTCTGCTCACTTTGTAATTGGAATGTTTGTCTTTTTCTTGTTGGGGTATTGGTGTTTTTATGAATTTGAGAGATTAGTCCCTTGTTAGGAAGGAATATCATTGCCAAGTATTATTTTCAAGTCTCTAGGTTCTGATTTTGCTCTTTTGAAACATAAGGATTTATCCCCCGCACCCTCCAAGAAACAAACAGGCCTTTATTGTGTGGTGTTAGAGGGAAGCCAAGTGACCATGTGCAGGAAGTTCAGAATGGGGTGAGATGGTCAAAGACGGTCCCTTTTTATGGAGGACTAAGGAAATGGTATTTTGCTCTTCATTTGGTCTGGGGTTCTGTTAATTAACTTGGGTGTGGGCTTTGTGTTCAGGCCCAGAACCTTATCAGGATCCAGTTGTCTGGTCTGGTCACCTTAGACATCATGCGGTTTCTTCAAGGAGAGGTCTCTGGGGGAGACTGTGACATTCTTCCTCCATTTCAGACCATAAAGGAGTATGATGATTAAGGGCAGAGTTGTCTCTGCTTCCTACTGAGTGATGCAGTGTTCCTACAAGGAGGGGCTGATGTTGGTTTCCTGTAAGGTCTGAAGGAGTATCGTTTTCATATGTTCTTGCCAGTAGCTTTGGAGTTGACCATGAGGCATTCTACTAAATATTTCTCAAATAGAGGGATAGTTTTAGGTATTTGAGAATTGAAGCGAATGTTGAATGTTGTCAGATTCAGTTGGCAAATGGCCTTTGGGACCAGTTGGAAAGCTGAGAGAAGGATAAGACAGAGAGGGAGAAGTTTGGCCTATTCTGAAGGGTACAAGCCACAACAATGAGTCCAGACAGACTCCTGCTCTGCTCACATAGCAATGAGGCCACAAATGTTCCCTCTTGGAGGGCAGCTAAGCTCCAGGTTGATTCTGGCTGCCGCTTACCTGTTAGTGAGCTCAGAGAGTGGGCTTGTTCTCCGTTTTGGTCAGTTGTGGAGAGGTGGAGAGGTCAGGTCAATTGCCAGTCAGCAAATCATGTTACATAGAAAAAAATTGTTGAGAGCAAGAGAGAGAAAGAAAGAAGCTGGTCCCAAGAAACTGACAGGCCTTTATTATATGGTGTGTGACTGTTGCCATGTGACCATGCATGGGAAAGGTCAAAATGGTGCCAAGGATTTGCGACTCGGTACATAACAACAACACAGGTTCTAATCACATGGCTTATCTTCCGATAATTACACATTTTCAACTGTCTTTGATTATTTATGCCAGGGATTCAGCTATGTAAGTTTGCCTTAATTTTTCCTTTGATTGTCTTTATAGTTGTATACCTGTGTCCTTGATCCATCTTGACTTAGCCTTTATATACAGTGTGACATACGGATCCTCTTATGTCAGTTTTCTGCAAATCGATATGCTGTTTTGCCAGCACTATTTGTTAAGGGGGCTGTCATTTCTGCATTTAAAGGATTTCATACCATTGCCAAGACAAGTATTAACAGTTTGGTGGTTGTTTCTTGTTGTTATGTGCCATCGAGTTGCTTGCATCTCATAGCGACCCTATGTACAATAGCCCTGAAACCTGCTCTATCCTGTGTCAACCTTATAGTTTCTGACACACCTACCCTCCTTACCCTAGTGACTGAATCAATCCATCTCATGATAGTCTTCCTCTCTTTCTCTGTCCCTCCACCCTTCCAAGCATGATATCTTTCTCCAAGGACTGGTCCCTTCTTGCAGCATGCCCAGAGTATGTCAGACAAAGGCTGAGAATCCTTGTCACCAAGGAACAGCCTGGTTTCACCCTCTCCAGGACGAACCTATTTGTTCTCTGGCAGTCCATGGTATATTCCATACTTGCTTAGAAAGTTGAAAATAAAGATACCATTTATTCTAGCAATCCCAATGTAAGGTATATAGTCTAAACAAGAAAGCGCTATGGTATGAATAGAGAGCCACATACACCCAAAATCATTACAGCATTATTTACAGTAGGAAAAAGATGGAAACAACTCAAGTGTTTGGTTCCTTAACGTTTTGTAAGAGTAATGACTGAGCTGCAAGTTTAACATTTTCTTAGCAAACTTTTATTCTTGCAAAGAGTATATTTTTCCATTATTTTTTATGGCATTGTTTTTTATTTGCCTTGCATTTCTTGTTTTTCATTCCTGACATAGGGTCAGAATAGTTCTTCATGCAAATTATTTGAGATTAGTACACATACCCACTATCTTTACTTCTTTGTATTATTGAAAGGGAAAACAAAAGATGTTTTAAAATTTTATGTTGGAACACTTTGAAACTTAGTTCATATATATGGTACATGTTCTTTGGTGTTACCGCTAGATCTTTAAAATCTTTGCCCTTAGTCAGAACAGTAACATGCAACAAATGGATCCCAGAAACTTCCTTTGCCTGACTGCCACCAGTACAAGACCACTACCGAGAAGTCAGCCAGCCAGCTAACTTCCAGAGTGGAGGGAGACTCCAAAGGCCCTACAATAAAGGATAGTCCACAAACCATTGCCTCATCAATGATTTTAAAGTCACACCCTCGAGCAGGCCTCAACCTTTGCCGTTAGTCACAACAGTTACACACAACAAAAGGACCCCAGAAAGTTCCCTTGCCTGACAGCCACCAAGACTAGACCACTACCTTCAGCCAGCCAGCTAACTTTCAGAGAGGAGGGAGACTCCAAAGGTCCCAGGCCTTTTCCTTGTTGTATGTTGTTGTTATGTGCTGTCCGGTCGTGACTCATAGGTAATTTTATTTAGGAGTAAAATCAGAAGGAGTTTTTGTTTGTTTGTTTGTTTTTGTGGTTTCTTACATCTTTAATGTAAATGAGGATAAGATTTAGCATATGTAACAATAGCTCAGTATTGCATTTTTCTATTTCATCTTTTAATTTTTCATTGCATGGGTAATGTGTTTTGTTCTTACTTGCTAAAGCAATCTTGTTTCTCACTCATATCTAATGTTTTGTGTTCTCTTTGCTATCACCCTTATTGATTAACAATCTGCAATTTGTCAAAACAAGAACATTTTCCATTCACCTTTGATAAACAACCCTTGATTTTAATGATATTGCTTATCTAAGAATTCAAGACTAGCCTGAAATTATTCCTCTCCTAATTTAGAAAATGCGATTTGGAGCTTCTGCTTTTGAAATTGCTAAACTAATTTTGCTCTTCTTGTCTGTGTTTTTTTTTTTTGTTTCCTTTATCAGCCAATACCTCTGCTGAAGCAGAAGATGAATCATTCCATCACAATGTCACAGGAACAGATTGCCAGTCTTTTAGCTAATGCTTTTTTCTGCACATTTCCACGACGAAATGCTAAGATGAAGTCAGAGTTTTCCAGTTACCCAGACATTAACTTCAATCGGTATGTTTTCAGAGAACACGTTGTTAACAATGACATAGAGAAAGACAGAACTAATAATATGTACCTAGTGATTTGCCATGGACCAGGCATTTTATGTATAATTATCTAATTTAACCTTTATAATACTGTGAGTTAAGGGATATTTTTGCCAGTTTTGCAAGCAAGTTCATGAAAGCTTATGGAGGTTAAAGAATGTCCTTTGGGTCCAGTAGCCATAAGTCACAGTTGTCAAGTTTCCTCTACAGTTGTCTTACTCTGAGGCCCATGTCCTTTCCATCCTATCAGATGATCTTCTCCTATGAGTGCTCTGGATTCATTATACCCTCTTTAATTTGGTTATTCATGGGAATACCACTTATATTTTCTATATCCTGACATAGTATTAAAACTACAAGGGCAGGAAAAAAAGAACTATAATAAAAGTCCTTCTTTTTGTGAAAGATCTTATACAATGTGAGTATAAAGTCATGTGAATAACAGTTGGCCAACTGTTTTGTGAGACTTAGAGTACTAAGATTGAAAAATTGCTGAAAACAATAAGCAGAAGAAAAATTAACTGCCATTGACTTTATGATTTCATTCGAAAGAATATTCTAATTTTATAATTGTGAAGATACTGAGAAAGCTTTATATCATTTATTTTTTTGAATGCGTACTTTCTCCTTTGTCTACTCAAACAAAAGCATTGTAAGAAATCTTGACAAACTAATATCTTTTTCCCCCTTCCTTGCTCTCTTTCTTTATCTGTACCTTCTTAAGAATTGCCAATGTAACGTTTGTCAATAAATGTGAGTTTTCTTCCTTACTTTCAGGGCAGGTCTTTAGGGATCTGGTAGAACATATATCCCATTTCTAGTGGATGAAGTGTGGTGTCCTCCTCCACCCATTACCTGCCTCTGAGGGTGGAACAGCATGGTGTCTGTGTGGAGCAGAAGGGGACTGCTGACCAAGTCACACTTGTGATTGCCATACTGTTTTTTTGAAAATGGAATGGTGCATTTATTTTCTTTTACTTTTGAAATATGTTTCCTTAATATTTTTTTTTTTTACACTTTAAAAGAAAGTTGCAGAACTGGTATAGAATATTCCTAGGTGTACATGTTTCCTGGATTTACTTTTTACTTGCATCTTATATAACTCTAAGGAGTTCTGGTAGGATAGCTGGTAGGGAGTTGCGCAGTTGACTCAAAGGCTACCCTTTTCTGGTGTTTTCAATCTAAGAACAATTATGTAGGAGAAAGATAAGCAGTCTACTTCAGTGAAGTTTACAACTTCAAAAACCCATTGGAGGATCATTTCTGACTCAGTGGCAATTAGTTGATATTTTTTTTAATGTAACCATAGTACAGTTACCAAAGCCAGAATCTTAACATTGATACAAAGCTATTATCTACGTATTTCAATTATAACAAGTTTCTTGCTCAGCTTTCTCTGTCCTATGAGTCTCTTAATCATTATACAGTCTATGTAATCTTTTTAGTCCAGTTGTTGTATTTCATAACTTTTATACCTTTAAAAATGTCTTGTCAAGTATTTTATGAGACATCTCATTACTTTTTCAAGATGAGACTGTGCTTGTGCACTTCAGTAGGAATACCACAGAAATGACACTGTGTGCTTTTCAGGAATTCAGAGGTTTCAGGTTGTAACATGTTGCTGCACACTTTTAAATTGAGACTGTGGTTAGAAACACATTTTTTGCTGTCATTTGCTAAGACAATGTCTGCCGGTTTTACCAGTGTAAAATTACTGCCTTTCCCTGCAGGATTAAGAAATGGCTTAAGGAATACCCTTTGACATTATAGAATCCTATTTTGCCACATACCTACCCCTGACCCTGACTTCACTAGTTTCATCATCAATTGATGAGTCTTATCTTTAGCATTTAATATAGTGAGGTCTACCTGCACTTACTGCAGAGGGTCAAGGACTGCAGCCTTCAATATGGACTGAGGTTCAATGTCAAGAAGACAAAAATTCTCACCACTGGACCAATCGGTAGCATCAGGATGGATGGTGAAGAGATTGAGATTGTTCATAGCTTCAGTTTGCTCGGCTCCACGGTCAACATTCTTGGCACCAGTAGCCAGGAAATAAAAAAACATATTGCGATGGGAAAGTCTGCGGTTAGGGACCTCTCTAAAGTACTCAAGAGCAACGGTGTCTCTGGAGACTAAGGTCTGCCTGATACAGGCCATGGTTTTTGCAATCACTTGTTATGCAGCAGAGAGTTGGACAATGACTAGGGAGGATAGAAGGAGAATTGATGCCTTTGAGCTGTGGTGCTGGAGAAGAGTATTGAATGTCCCATGGACTGCCAAGAAAACAAATAGATTCATCCTAGAGAGGGTTAAACCAGGCTGCTCCTTGGAGGCAAGGATTCTGGGGCTTCGCCTGACATACTTTGGACATGTTATAAGGAGAGACAGGTCTTGAGAGAGGGACATCATGCTGGGCAGAGTGGAGGGACAGCGCAGGAGGGGAAGACCCTCTATGAGGTGGATTGATTCAGTGACTGGGGTAATCAGGTTGGGTATGTCAGAGGCAATGAGATTGGCACAGGATAGAGCAGGGTTTAGGGCTGTTGTACATAGGGTCACTATGAGTCGCAAGTGACTCGACAGCACAGAACAACAACAACAACAAACAACCTTGTAGTAGTGTTTTGGTTTATTTTTCCCTGTTTCCCTCTTTCTAGCTACATTTATTTGAGTTCTAATGTAAGGAAGAAGTTGTCCCATTTCTTTCATTTTTATATCATTATAGATTCATAGTGCTCAATATTCCGTTGACTGCCAAAAGAATGACAAGTCTGTCTTAGATAAAAGTGTCATGTCACTAGGGTGCACCTCAGAGGCAAGAATCATATACTATGGACATATTGTCAGAAGATGCTAGTCCTTAGAAAAAGATATCATGCTGGGAATAGTCGAGGATCAGCAAAAAAGAAGACATCTCTCAGTGCTGAGTGAACTAAGTTTCATAAAGATAAATACTTCATAAGACCATTATTGTAGAAATAGATAATTAAAGTAAAACATATATGAGGATTCAAGGAGGAGAAAGTGACAGTAGAGGGGTGAGGATGAGCAGGGGGAAATTATAGGGTTGCACAGTTTCGTGGGTTTAGGAAGAGAAGGAGTAAAGGAAATGAGAAAGATCTAGTGGGGATCTGGAAAGACAGGGTAATGGTAGACATAGTTCAATGGTGATTAAGTTTATAAATGGGAATGATTACATGAAACACAATGTGAATGAAGGATCATGTGAAGCATAATGGAGGTGAACTTTGTAAGCAAATCAATATTAAATAAAATTAAAAAACAAACCCATAATGTTTAGATGTTCTTACTGTGTTGTACCTCCAGAAATGCAAAGTAACCAAAGTTATCCTTTTTCATGACCAAATACTAATGAGCCATTTGACAAGATGGTATGTAGAATTTGTTGGGGTGGGTTTTTATTTTATGTAGATGCTATTTATGATTACAGGTTCTGGCTGGTAGGAGTTATATACCTATAACTGTATTTTAAAAGAGGTATGACTAGATAGTTGATTGAATAAGAAGAATGGGAAGAGTATGTGGTGGGAGGCTGATGTCAATAAATTCAATAAGTCTTTTTTGTTATTGTGTTCTCCCAGACCCTCTTAGTTATGTTAAATACTGCTGACCTTTTCCCTTGCTTGCCTTTCAGGGCCTGGGCATTCATATAAAGGCTTCCAATGTGATTAGCATTGATGCTTCTGAGATTGCTTAGAAACTCGGTGGTCAGTGATAAATTGTGGGTAGCAGGCTTTTACATCTGCCTCTTCTCTAGAGTGAACATGTTGCTGGGCCATATGGCAGAGTGCCTCATAGAAAAGCCAGGATTGACTTCTGGCTGAGTTCTGTATTATCACTTGCTTCCATTTAAGGTGGAGGTTATAGTGCTTTGGGTTTGATTTATTGTGCACTAATGGGATTAATCCTTAACTTGAAGTCTCATGGGAATTGTGTATGTGTCTAGAATCCAATTCCAGTAATGTTATCAATAGTCCTTTCATGAAAAGATTTTATTAAACTGTATTTCTTTATATATATGGATAGAAAAACACCAGTTAATAAGTATCTGACCTTTGATTGACTTCTTCGCTTGAAAATAAAAACAGTTTGTTTAGAATGGAATAAGGTTACATAACGGCTTTTTCTCTTTGCTTTCCTTAATAATATGTAAATATCATTCAGTTAAATGCCAAAATTCTCTTTCCTATATGCAAAACACCCACAGTAAATATAATAACAGTGGGCTTGAGTATTTCAGACTGTAAGGATGGCACAGGATAGGGCATATTTTAGATCTGTTTTTCTTGAGATCACTATGAGTCATAGCTGAATTGTTGACACCTAACAATATGGAAAAAGGTTATTGAGATTTGAGTTTAATGTATATATTTACATTCATGCCTACTGAATCAAAATATGTTTTCAATTATATGTACCCAAAAATCAGAAAATCCACTAACATTCCTCCCCAAAAATAATCCATCAGCAAGTTAAATGATGCTTGTTTTTTATAAGAATGTTTCACTCTCTCCTCTATGTTTGTGTCTGTTGAGTGTCTCCGCCCTCTCCTGGTTTCTTGTCTCCCTCCTGCCTGTCTCTAGTCCCCTTTCTTTTCATTATCTTTCCATCTCCATGCTTGCCTGATTTTCTTTTCAGGCTGTGTCCTCTTTTTATGTTAATCCTCTTCTCCCACCTCTTAACGCTTTCCTTCAGACTGTATTACTGTTGTGAAAACTTTTACTCATGCTATTTTTGTGGGTATTTCTGGAATTTTTTTAAATCTTTTTACTATTTTTAATAATTCTACCATTCTTAAATCCTTACACAAAAGGGTATTACAGTTCTTCAGCCTATACTGCAAACAGTTCTTAAAATTCAGCTCATATATTGAAGTGATAATGATTACTATACTATAAAGTAAGATAAAGAACTCCTTAATTTAATAAAAAACAAGGA